CTGTCACCTAGCTTTATGAGAAAATGCATCTATGTGCTCACTAGGAATGGAACATGACTTGAGGGTACATAATCATCTGTCTGTCTGTCTAGGAGCCACGATCGATAAAGACAGGACATCTAAGAGTTACAATTTTTTGCACCAGGAATACTGTTGGTTTCCATTTATCTCCTCAGCCAACCCCCCTGAAACTATTTTAGAGGTGCAGTATTTCTATCATTGCTATTAATTCAATGGAATAGTACAATGTCTCAACTAGAAAAAAATGATTGTCCTCTCAGTCCAGTTTCTATCTCATAATTACATGTCATTATTTTCTTCTGGGTGTTTTCTTTAATTTTTCAATCTAGCCTATATAGCCCTTGGATTTCTTAGAGATCTTGTATTCCCAAATGAAATGTTGATAAAAATCTGACTTCATTTAATTTTAAGGAAAGCTCAGTGCCGCTTGTTATATTCATTATGCACATATTTGTGTATGGCTCTGCAAACTTTTTCTGCAGTTCCTTAGGGCTTATTTTGTTCTGACTGGAAAATATAACTGTTGCATTTCCTTGCATTATACTAAGGCTGAGTTCACAAATTACAATAAGTGATTTTGGTTGGTTTAGAGCAGGGTGAGGGATAGTTTGTGAAGTTTGTGAAATGTTGTGTTGCTGTCTTTAAAAATATTTTAAATGATGGCAACAGCTGTGGTGACAGAGTGGCTAGAATGCAGTATTGCAGGCTAACTCTGCTCACTGCCAGAAGTTCAATCCCGACCAGTTTAAGGTTGATTCAGCTTTCCATCCTTCTGAAGTCGATAAAATGAGGACCCAGATTGTTGGGGGCAATATGCTGAACAGCTCAGAGAGTGCTGTAAAGCGCTCTGAAGCAGTATATAAATCCAATTGCTATAATGTAGACTCCTTATTTATGCTTTCTGGACATTGGGAAACAAAAGGAGAATTCCCTCTGGTTTCTATAGAATTCTTCATTATTTGGGATTCAGAATGGAAGAAAATGGTTCCTTGTATATTTAGTTAGATGCTGGTTAAAGCATTGACTGCTGGTGATAAATGCTTGGGTGCACGCCATCTTTAGTAACAATTTGTCAATCTTCCAGGAATATTCCTGTAATGGGCTTAATCCCATCCATCCCCTTTCTCTGTTCTTTTCACCTTCTACTTTCCTTACTTTATATAAACCTTTTCCTCATGCTCTTTATTTCTAGGGGGATGCAAATAAAAGTGTTGGGAGATCCGGGGCTTTTCTTGCCCGTTCTCTTCACTAATCTCCTCAGTGAGATTAAAAGGCAGAGATAGACAGACCAATCATGAGAAAGAAAGAATGCCTCATTCAAAAGGGAGAAATGGGGGAAGAATGACATTTTCTGGATTGCAATTGATTGGAAAATTTACACTTGTTGGGATATTATTCTGGTTTAATTACAGTACACTATTTGCCGAGTAATAGTTTACTTTGCTGATGTATCTGACCTCTTAATAAGCCAGAGAGAACACAGGTAAAAGGTCAGAAGCAATTTTGTCACACATTCACAATTAAAGTTCACCATACTTTTGGAGAAACTCCAGTGGTTGTTGTACTCACACATAAAATCAATCTGCAGGACCTGAATTTAGACTGTGTCTGTTGAACATTTTATTTATGTTAATTGCCTCCTGTTTGTAGCCGGATGTTAACCCTGGAAACTGCTGGGCATTCTCAGGATCTGATGGCCAAGCAGTAATTAAACTGCCTGAAAAAGTCCAACTCACAGCTATTACAGTTCAACACATCTCTAAAGCAATAGCTTTTTCGGAAGGAATCACAAGCGCCTTAAAAGATTTCTCGATTTATGTGAGTACAACATTGCTTTAACTTATATCTTTTCGCTAAGGTGCATTAAAAGAACTTTGATTTAGAAAGCACTAAGGCTACTGAGCCCTTGATATTGATCTGATATATGATAAGGAGCCATTCTGGTATAAGGGTTACGGTGAAGGATTAGAAATCAGGGCTCTGAGTTCTAATCCTCCCTTTTGCACAAAAGCCAGCGAAGTGACTTTGAGCCAGTCGTTCTCTCTCGGGCCAATTCATCTCTCAAGGTTCTTGGGAAAGAATGGGAGGGGGAAGCATTATGTACATGCCTTAAATTATAACAAATCAAAGTAGGATACAAATCTTTGGAATAATGGGCCAAATGGACATTTCAACTGTAGGATTCTAAGACAAGCAATAGTGCCTGCCTAACTCTACCAGCTTCTGCCCTAAGTAGTTATTAATTTTGCTTATCCAATGGTATGGCCTCGCCTTCTCTGGTGTCTTTAACTCAGAAAATGACTAGCACTTTCTTTGCTGCTTCCCATATGAGTTCATTTAAATCAGGGGTGTCCAACCTTGGCAACTTTAAGACTTGTGGACTTCAACTCCCAGAATTCCTCAGCCAGC